TGTTTGTTAGGCACTGATTTTCTCGCGAAAATGCCTATTAAGATCCTTGTAGATCAAGGCTGCATCGAACTCCCGTCGGGTCGACGGATGGCGTTCTTGCCCACACCCTCACATCCGCGCATGGCTAGTGCCTCGGTGCAGGCGTTTGTTGCGAGCACAGTTCGCATTCCACCAGGGACACAAATGCTCGTGCCCTTGCAACTTAAAAAACCGCTAGCCCCGGAGGCCTCGGCACATGGCATTTTGCTGGGGCCTTCAAACGCAGCTGCTAAGGGGTTAGATTTGGTGGCTGCACAGACCCTCGTAGCAGCCGACAGGGAGCCGTTCTTGCAGGTTTTGAATGTCGGATTGTCCACAACCGTCATTCCGCAAGGAACTGTGCTCGCTCACGCGACCCCGGTGCCGTTGGGGACCGGAGTCGCGGGACACGTGCGTGACACGCCGCAGGTCCCACCTCCTTCCGAATCGGATGAGAGATGGTTGGACGCGCTCTGCACAGACACGGGTGATCTGTCTCATTCGCAGCGAATTAAATTGCGCGCTCTTCTGCGAGAATTTTCCGATGTCTTTAGTAAATCGAAATTTGATATTGGCTGCACCAAGCTGCTGCGTCAGCACATTGATACTGGTGACGCTGCCCCGATTCGACAAAACCCGTTTTGGCTTAGCCCGGCGGAGAAACAGCATGTTAAATCGGCTGTGGATGACATGCTGAAGGCCGATATAACTTCTCCCTCCACTAGTCATTGGGGTGCTCCAATAGTGCTGGTCAAAAAGCACGATGGCAGTCTCCGTTTTTGCGTTGATTTTCGGCGCCTAAATAAAATCTCGGTAGCGGACGCCTACCCTCTCCCTCGTATGGACGAGTCATTGGATGCCCTGGCAGGGGCGCACTATTTCTCCACCTTGGACCTTCTGTCGGGGTTTTGGCAACTCCCCCTCGACGAATCGTCAAAACCTAAGACTGCTTTTCGGACACCACAGGGCCTTTTCGAGTTTAATAGATTGCCCATGGGTCTCCACTCGGCCCCAGCGACGTTCCAGAGGCTCATGGAGCTGGTCCTCGCTGGGCTCCAGTGGGACTCATGTCTCATTTATCTTGACGACGTCATCGTCTTTAGCCGCACGTTCGGCGAACACATCGAACGGTTGCGTGCTGTCTTCTTGAAAATGCGGGCCGCTAACTTGAAATTCAAGCCGCAGAAGTGTCACCTTCTGCGTGAGTCTGTGCGCTATCTGGGCCACATAGTTAGCCGCTCGGGCATTTCTACCGACCCTGAAAAAACCAAATGTGTTCAACATTGGCCGACCCCTACATCTGCGGGCGATGTTCGTAGTTTTATTGGTTTTGCGTCGTACTACCGCCGGTTTGTTGCTGGCTTCGCGACGATTGCCAAGCCGCTCCACGCCCTTACGTCAAAACGGGTGGCGTTTCATTGGGGGGACGCAGAACAGGCTGCGTTTCGACTCCTTGCGGAACGCGCTCGTGACGACACCGTCCCTTGCGTACCCCGATTTTTCCGTGCCATTCGTGTTGGACACCGACGCTAGCAATACGGGGATTGGGGGTGTTCTGTCACAAAAAGTTGATGGCATTGAAAGGGTTGTTGCCTATGGTAGCAGAGTCTTGTCTCTTGCTGAACAAAGATACTGTGTGACCAGACGTGAGCTGCTGGCCATTGTTTTTTTTATTCAGCAATACAGGCCGTACCTGTATGGTCAGCATTTTACCGTGCGATCTGATCATTCGGCTTTACAGTACGCTCTGCGGGTTGACCAACCGTCCGGGCAGCTTTCTCGGTGGCTCGAAGTCCTTCAGGACTACGATTTCAATGTCACTTACCGTAGGGGTGCACAACACACGAATGCCGATGCGTTGTCTCGCCTTCCGCCGGCTCAAAAATGTGCGTGTTTTTTGGGCTCGGGCCGTTGTAAGCCGCCACTGCCTGCGCAGGTCGCGCCTCTCACAACGGTGTCAGCCGCACTTCCCGCCGCCTCAGCGCCGATGTTGGATCATGCAGATCCAATGGCCAGTGACGATTTGCTGGGGCTAACTTTGGCCGAATGGGGTCGGCACCAGGGCGAGGACATGTCATTATTGAGGTTGCGTCGCCACGCGAATAATGCGGTTCCAAGACAGGGCAAATTTAATTCATTTGTCATGAAGCGTGGCTTGTTGATGCATTGGGATGCTGACTCGTGTCAACATAAAATCGTCGTGCCATCCGCCTTGCGATGCAAGGCCGTATGGGCGGCGCATGAGCGTTTATTGCACCTGGGTGTTCATAAGACCATTGGGTTGTTGCGGTTGCAATTTTTCTGGCCGGGCATGCTGCGCGACGTCACTGACATTTTGCTGGGATGCACCCATTGTGCGCAACGTAAACCGCCGGCTAAACCGGCATGTCCACCCCTGCAACCCATTTCGGTCTCTCGTATAAATGAGTTGGTGGCTCTCGATATTTTGGGCCCTTTTCCTACTACGCCACGGGGTAATAAGTACCTTCTGGTTGGGGTAGAGTATTTTACACGGTGGCCTATGGCCTGGGCCCTCCCCAACCAGTCGGCGGCGGCCGTTGTGGACGCCTTTGTTCAAGGCTACGTCCTGGACAAGGGCGCACCAGAACGGTTGCTGACCGATCAGGGAAGAAATTTTTCAGGAGCCTTGCTGACTGATGTGTGCCGCCTGTTGGGCACTAAGAAAGTGCGCACTTCGCCCTACCATCCCCAGACCGACGGCATGGTAGAGCGCCTTCATAGAACTCTCACCGCTATGTTATGCCATCAGGTCGATGAATCCCACCTCGATTGGGACTTGCATGTTCCGGGGGTCCTCGCCGCATACCGTATGGCACCTCACGCGGCGACGGGATTTTCCCCGTTCTTTCTAATGTACGGCAGGGATGCCTTTCCTCCCTCCGACGTTCGGCTGGAAATCGAACAGCCACCGCAAAAGTCAAAGCTCGTTGACCACTTGCGATTCAACCTCCGTAAGTTGGCCGAGGCACGGGAGGCCGCCATTGAAAATTCGGCTTCCCGCCAAAGGGCGAATTTGCGACTGCGGGACCCTCGGTCGTACACGCATCGGTGGGCACCGGGAGACAGGGCATGGCTCCACTGCCCCCAGGTGCCGGTGTCCACGTCGGCCAAACTCCTCAGACCATGGCGAGGCCCGGTTGAGGTAGTGGAAGTCCTGCGTCCCCAATGTGTTAAAATTAGCTGGGGACGGCGTCGCTGGTGCGTTCACCCCTCTCGGTTAAAACCCTTCGTCACGCCACGCGTCCCTCCACAACACACACGACATGGGGGCCGAGTGTGCGACGCGTCCGACGAGCCAGATGTTGCCCCGTTGGTGCCTAACCCGCAGCGCAGGCGTGTCATTCCTCCTGCAGATGACGCGGGAGTGACGGCTCCATGCAGGCCACGTTCGGCCTCAATGGACCGTGGAGCAGCAGGTGTCCCCTGCTGCTCCAGTTGAGGTAGTGGAAGTCCTGCGTCCCCAATGTGTTAAAATTAGCTGGGGACGGCGTCGCTGGTGCGTTCACCCCTCTCGGTTAAAACCCTTCGTCACGCCACGCGTCCCTCCACAACACACACGACATGGGGGCCGAGTGTGCGACGCGTCCGACGAGCCAGATGTTGCCCCGTTGGTGCCTAACCCGCAGCGCAGGCGTGTCATTCCTCCTGCAGATGACGCGGGAGTGACGGCTCCATGCAGGCCACGTTCGGCCTCAATGGACCGTGGAGCAGCAGGTGTCCCCGTGGAGATGCATAAAGGCCCACCGGATGCTCTGGCTCATCCTCCTCCTTCCCTTGTGCCGCCGACAAAGCCTGCCATCCCCTACGATGGTCCCGCGAAACGCACGCGCGCGAAATCTCGCCGGTTATAATGTTTTTTTGGCATGTCTAGTGCCTTGTACATACGTTATGTTGTTAAGGGGGGTATTTATAGGGGTTTAATTGTTCTTGTTGTTCGTGAGGCACACTCACAATTCTTCTACCATTGGTAATTTCGGAGTTTCCCATTGTTGCAGCCGGGACGGCTGGAGCTTCCGAAGGAGGGGGTGATGTAGAGGTGTTAACTACGCGCTGTTGCGTAACCTGCGTTGCCACCAGGGCGGTGCAGCATTACCCCTGGGTACAACGGTTGGGGTCAGTCGAGGTGAAACGGATCGTGGCCAGGGTTTGGTGCGAACCAATCAGACGGTTCCACGTGGGAATGTATGATTGGTTCTACCTGGCCACGAAGGGGTATAAGACGGGTGACCCAACGGACCTGGGGGCTTCGCTCCCTGCACGAAGACAGAAGACTGGGCTGAAGCCTAGCTAGGACCCTGGACCAGCCTTTCAGCCCTTCTAAGGGCTAAGGCTCGGCATACCCAGTGGTCAGGACCCACCAGGCCAGCGGTGGGTCAGATAGCCTCCCCTAGGTCCTAGCCGGAGGACTAGGATAGCGGTAGACGTGTGAGTCCCGCCAAGTCCGGAGGTTGTACCTCCTTGGGTATCAAGGAGGTTAGCGGTAGACGTGTGAGTCCCGCCAAGTCCGGAGGCTGTACCTCCCTAGGGTATCGGGTGAGGGGACCGAATATCCCTCTGTGTGTGTTAAGCGATGTATAAGGAAATAATACAATAAACAGAGTGTGCCTCCTAAAGAAGTCTGCTCGTCCTTACACCACTACACTTGGATGGGCAAAAGGCGAGTATAACTAATAGTTGCACAACTTTCTGAGTTTCGTTCATGTTGATAATTTTTATGAGGGTTATGCCCCTGTGTTAAGGGCATACAGACAAGACGGATGGGCAGACCTGATGCATGAATACGTTTCAACCTTATTTGAAGTGCATTAAAAAGCAGTGCAATAAAATAATACAAATTAATGTTTTCATAAAAAATCAAAAGAACTATAATATTTGATATGGGGATTAACTGTTGTTTCTCTTTAATTTAGTTGATTAACAATCAGAGAAGTGATGATCAAATTAGAGTGTAAAACACTTACTCGATGAATTGGTTATAATCCATGGGTAAGCAGTCGTTGCAGGTGCTGAAAAAGCAAACACGAATTTTAATTAAATAGAGTGTTACGTTTGGTTATAAATCGTGATTATTGAAGTCGCTTTATCAACATATATATAACGAACAATACGATTACTGAGTGAATATAATTACATTGGTCTGTAAACATTTAAAATATGGAAAAATGTGTATATGTTTAAATGCAACTAGGAGAGAATCAACATTGTAACAAATAACTCACGTGTTTGAATTGTGACCGTTGTCACCGGAGTTGTGGAAGCTGAAAACAGTCAGATCTGCTATTAGTTGATGTTGTAAAGTTGATGTACAAAAATGCATTTTTAAAAACACTGTTTCTGAGCATAATATCCAGATGGGCCCAGAATGCCAATGAGCCAGCAATAAACATCATCATACTATTACTCTGAAAATGTTGGACGATACCACCGGATCTAAGAACTAATGAACACTGCCACCCAACGAGAGATGTCAATTCTCAGACTGTCCGAAGTGACAAACCTTGTCTACTCGAAGATTATATGTCTTTCAGAAGTTTGCCACAGAAGGCAGCCGAGGTCACCAAACAGGATTGAGTGAATCCTCACGTGGTGCATTATCGCTGACGGACTACTCACTATAATGCGAGTCTCGCGCGTGACGGGCTGCTCAGGACAACGCGAGTCTAGCACGTCACAGACCACTCGCTACAACACGAGTCTAGCACGTGACGGACTACTCACTACAACGTGAGTCTAGCACGTGACGGACTACTCACTACAACGTGAGTCTAGCACGTCACAGACCACTCGCTACAACACGAGTCTAGCACGTGACGGACTACTCACTACAACGTGAGTCTAGCAAGTGACGGACTACTCACTACAACGTGAGTCTAGCAAGTGACGGACTACTCACTGCAACGCGAGTCTAGCACGTGACGGTGTACTCACTACAACGCGAGTCTAGCACGTGACGGACTACTAGAGAGTCTATTTCAGGACGGACTACTCACTATAACGCAAGTCTAGAGCAACCATTGTGGTTGTGTTACTAATAATTGGTGCATATATTCGCACTACAATATAAATAGTGGTGATAAATGGGGAGTATGTTTGGCCACGCCCTTCATCAATCTCTCAGAATAGGCAGGCACTTGACTCAATTGCCAGAATCACGTGATCACCGCAGGATGATTTTGAAGAGAGGGAGATGTTTATCGGGGGGCCAATCGTGACACCAGCACGTCGATATGACAGGTCCGTTGGCGTACCTGTGAGCTGCGAGCCGGACAAAGAAACATCTAATTTTGGACCCCCGTCCAGAAAGTCATTGGGTGCGCGTAGCCAGTGTTGGGAGTGATAGCGAGTTGTGTCACAGTTGACAAGGAGGAGAATCACGCAGCGGAACCAAAACAGCGCAGAGTACTACCATAACTTTTATTTTACCGTTTATTAATGACCGCACTGTGTCGTCGATAACGATCACGACCAGGAGAGATCGAGACACAGTGAGCACGGGTCACACTAGCACGTGAAGGACTACTTTTCTGAGCGTCGTGGGTGTTAGCAACGTTGTTCTGTGATGCTGGAAGCTGGTAGCGTAGTACCGTAGTCTTGGTACTGTAGAACTTATATGCGCTATTATACATGGCATGCCATCCTCTTCTTCCGCAGGCTTTGTTTTGGCATCTTTGCATGCGCATCGTCACATCTCTCTCTCTTTTTCACTCGCCATATCTCTCACCCACTTTATGTTTAAATAAATTACTGTCACACATAGCATATTTATATAAATATATAAACACAACACGTAAAAAAACATGTCCAACAGTAGACTGTGATATAAAAATAATTCAATTACGGTTTGGAATGGCACCCCCTACCATCACCGTTATTCCCCAGGGGACAATTACTCTTGCTTAACGCGAATTTGCTTTAAGCAGCAATTTTTAGGAACGCAACCGCGGCGTTGAGCGAGGACTCGCAGCATGCGAGTGTAATTTTTTGTTTTACTTAATTAAAAAATGTTTAAATATTTTTTTTATGTTATGTTTAAAAACCATGCTCGGTGTTAAGCACATTTACTGAAAGTATACTCACTTGTTGATTCAGTTTTAGATGGTGTACTTAAAGCTGCCGTAGCTGAAAGATCAAATAAACATGAATTAATTTTTTTTCACTCGCCATATACCTCACACTTCATTTTTAAATAAATAACTGTCATACATAGCATATTTATGTAAGTATATAAACACAACACGTACATAAACACATAAAACAGTGGACTGTGAAATAAAAACAATACAATTACGGTTTGGAATGGCACCCCTTCCTTCGCCATTATTCCTCAGCGGAAAATTACTCCCTCTTAACGCAATTTTGCTTTAAGCATAATAGAGGTTTTTGGGTTAGATCGCGTTATTTATAAATGTGCCGTAACCCTCCACCACCCGACACGGCCAAACTGTAAAAAATGTGTCAACGTTTACAAAGGACAAATAGTTAACTACTTTAGCCCACCGGTGTGTTGAAGAGTGAATCAACATCATAAAAAATTTGAGTACGACGTTTCGCTTGTAATTACGATTTTTACATTTTTTTATTCAGTTTCACAGCGAAGAAAACAAAACGAAACAAAGATCGAGGGGCCGCCCCTTCCCGCGCGCCGCGAAGACCCTACCCGGCCGCCGACCCATCCGCGAGACCGGAATCACCCCCCGACAGAGCACTGGGCCACATCTGTGCATGGAGGGGCTACCTCCCCTCCAGCTACGCACGACCTCGCCCCCGGGTGCCAGTAAAGGCTCCCCCCCCCATCTCAGGCCGCCCTAACCCACCCTGGGCAGTGGCCACTTCCACTTTTCCCGTGCGGCTTCGTGTCCTAGCCTCACCCGATCCACCTCCACCACCCTCTCCAACAACCTCCTCGCCACGTGGCACGTTTCCAAAAAGGGACATCTGGGACCCCTCCAGTTCCTTCTTGCGCGCCTTCCATAAGGCCTCCTTTGTTGCACCTATTATGGCCCACGCCCGGTCCCTGTCCTCCCCTCCCACTCCCCGCAATTCCCCCCACATAATGTCCCACGTTGTCACCTTCGACGGGGCGAACCGGGCCAACAACGGTTCGCTCCGCCTCCACACCACCTGGGCAAAGGGGCATGCCACCAACACATGTACTGCACTCTCGTCCCCGTTGCAGCCCCTCAGGCATTTGGGGGTGCGTGCCATTTGGCGGGCGTACATGAAGCCCCTCGTCTCCAGTTTATCCCGGACCGCCAGCCAGGACAGGTCCCTCTGTTCTTTTGTGAGTGCCGCCGACGACATGTTCCTCCAAATTTGCCGGTGTACCGCCTTCCTCGCACCTGGCACCTCCTCACAGGCCTCCCCTTTCTCCGCCTCGGCCCGCACCTCCCTGGGGCTCCACCGGCCCCCCCACCGGTTCAGGCAGTGCTGCCCTACATAGCCCCCCACCACGTCACTCAACCAGCCCCCCGGCCAGTCCAAGCGTGTGCTCCTCTCAGCCTGGGTCATCCCGATGCCCCGCAGGCGCCACGTCAGGCGATACCTCATGTAGCACGCCGCCTTACCTCGCGGCTCTACGGAGAATAACAGTCCCATTGCATTACATACAAAGATCGAGATCAGGGTGTATTCCACATTTGAGGCGCCCCTCCCCCCGTTCCCAACCTGCATGCACAGTATGGCCCTCCTCACCCTCTCCATCCCTCCCCCCCAGATAAATCCGAATAGCGTCGACATCAAGGCCTTGACCTCCCTCCTACCAGGTGGGAATACTTGCGCCAGGTAGTTCAGCGTTGGCAGTATCTCCACCTTTCATCACCATGATCCTCCCAGCCATCGTGAGTCGCCTGCCTGCCCACTTACCCAAACGTCCCTTAGCCTTATCTTTTTCTCCCAGTTATGCTCCGCCGATCTATCCCTACAGAAGGTCACCCCTAGCACCGTGATCTCTTCCATCTGCAGTCTCAACTCCGGTGGCCGACCCTCGAACAACCTCGAGTCCCCAAAGGCCATCAGTTCGCTCTTCCTCGTGTTGATCTTTAAGCCGGAGGCCGCACAGAACCGCCCTGTCTCCTCCATAGCTCTCCACACCGACACAACGTCCCTGCACAGCATGGCCACGTCGTCTATATACAAAGTCACTTTCCCTTGTTCCTTGTTGCCCGGGATTGTCACCACCAAAATCCTTTGGTTATCCCTTATTGTCTGCGCAAGAGGTTCCATGCTCATAATGAACAAGACCGGGGACATCGGGCACCCCTGCCGCACCCCGGACTCCACTTGAATCACCCCCGAGCATTCCCTGTTTATCAAAAGCCTAGCCCTGAGCCCACCGTAGAGCCGTGCCACCCACTCCACCAGGGGCCCACTCATTCCCATTCTCTCCATCACCGCCAGCATATACTCATGCGAAAGACGGTCAATGGCTTTGTCCAAGTCCAAACTCAGAATCCCCAGTGGGCACCCCCTCTCTCTTTCCCCTTCTATAGCCTCCCTCAGCACCACCAGGGAGACCGTGATCCTCCTCCCCGGGACCGCGCACGTCTGATCCGGCTCTAACACCCCCCCCCCCACCACCTTCCATAATCGTGCCGCAACTATCCTTGCTAAAATCTTGTAGTCCGTACTCTTTGGTTCTATTCGGTAAAGTCACGTAAATGTATAAAACAAAAAAATTTTCACGACGTTTCGGCCACAACACAGGTGAAGGGACCAGACTGTCTCGAGGACAGCGCTGGAGTGAACACAGCCAAGCTCAGGCCGCGACCTTTAAGCTTTTGTGAGAGGAATTAAGGTGCCTTGACAAATGAATTAGCATAAAAATTAGCATTTAATTGGCGGACTTAGCATGATGAATGGTGTCGAGGGGGTGAACATGTGCAGACCGGCGAGGGGGGGGGGGAGTTTACATATTGATGGTGTGAAAAGGGAATTTAAGCAGCTGCGAAAGTTTGGGATACCATTACTTGAAAAAATATTCTGTACCATTGAAAATTAGTTTAATGTTTGGTTCGATTTCGAACATCTTTCCAATGGTTGCTTAATTTGAAACCATCTTCTCGGTTGAAATTGTCTGTTTGTAAATCTGAATTGCCTCGTGAACAAATCTCTGATAAAAACCCGTGGGTTTGCAAAGAACCCTTGTATCGGAGAAAATTATATCGTGATCACCCACAGCGTTGTAACAGTGATCAGCTATGGCAGAAGAATTCGTTCTGCCGTGTTTCAAATCTGATTTGTGCTCGCAAATTCGGTCAGAGACATGTCGTTTCGTCTCCCCGATATAGCAGTCACCACAGGTGCAGATCAATCTGTAAACTCCGGGGTACTGTAAGTCAGGAATGACATCCTTCACGGAAGGCATCAGGTCACGGATTTTGTGTACTGTTTTGAACAAGACCAGGATCTTGTGTTTGTTTAGAATTTTGGAGATCTTTTTAGTAACGCCTGCTATATATGGCAGTGTGATGGTTTTGATCGGAGTATCAAGTGGTTCTTTCTGTATGGAGGGAGAAACAGCTTGGCGGATGGTACGGTCAGAGTATCCATTCCTTTTGAGGGCCAGATGCACATGTTTTAATTCACTGGTCAGGTGGTGTTGGTCCAAAATGCAATGAGCCCTGTGGTATAACGTTTTGATGAGAGAATCCTTTTGCGTCGGGTGGTGGTGGGAATCAGGTTTCAAGTAGGAATCTGTGTGGGTGGGTTGCCTGTAGACAGAATGTCCCAATGAGTCATCAGGTCTCCTCTCAAACAGAGCATCCAAGAATGGCAGCTTGCCATCTTTCTCCACTTCCATGGTGAATTTGATGGCGGGGTGTCTGGAATTAACGTGGTCTAGGAAAAGGTTCAAAGCCGGGAGGCCATGTGGCCAAATGACGAAAGTGTCGTCTACATATCTCTTCCACAGGGAAGGTCTGAGGGTGGAAGTCTGGATGGTGTCTTGATTCAAATTTCTCCATGAAAAAATTGGCTATCACTGGTGACAAGGGGGATCCCATGGGGGTACCCTCATTTTGTTTGTAGAAGGAGCCATTCCAAGTAAAGTAGGTTTTGTAGTCCGTGTTTAGGAGTGTAATTGGGCACCAGCTTCCCAAGTCCTTGCGATCCCCCTTCCCTTTATAAATCAGTGTAACTAAACCCTCCCGCATATCGTCCGGCACCCGGCCCTCCTCTAAAGTCTCCCTACAGATTTGCAGCATGTCCTCCTTCAGGAGCTCCCAGAACTTGACGTAGAACTCCGCTGGGATACCATCCGGGCCCGGGGTTCTATTCCTATTCAGCCCCTTTACCGCCCCTTCCACTTCTCCCTGCTGAATTTTCTCCCCCAGCGACTCCGGGCCCCCAATCCTCCTCCCCATTGCCCCCAGCAGCTCCTCCCGCTTCCCCCCATCTGTCCCTTTTCTCCCGTACAGCTCCCTATAGAAGTCCTCCGCTATGCTCATCATCCCTGCCATCGTCGTCTGCCTGCCCCTGGCAGGGCTTACCAATTCCCTAATTGCGTTATCCCCCTCCCTACCTGCTTTGAAGAAAAACCTCGTGCACTTCTCCCCTTCCTCCGTTGCCCTAACCCTCGCCCTGTACACTGAGGCTATCCTCCCTTTCAATTCCTCTATCCTTTCCCCCATTGGGAAGCCTAGCTCGAGCAACTTGTACATCCTCTCCAGCCTGGCCTTCCACTGCCTCAACTCCCTGTTCACTCCCCTCCTCCTACTATGGCACTGGAAAAGCGCTTTCACCCTGCCCTTCATCTGGCCCCACCATTGCACCCTCGTGGGGAAACAGTCCTGCAAGGTCCTCCAGTCTTTGTATTTTTGCACAAAGTCCCCCACCACTTTCTTTTTCTTCAATAGACCCACGTTAATTTTCCACATCCCTTTTCCTCTCCTCGCCCCACCTGGGATCGCGAGCGATGCCACGACCATTTTGTGGTCCAAGAGGGGGAAGGGCTCCACCCCCGCGCTTTCCACTTCTACTTTGGCAGAGGTGAAGATAAAATCTATCCACGACTGCGCTCCCCCGCTTTTGTCCGACCATGTGTACCCGGGCCTTACACCATGCACCCTCCTGAAAGCGTCTATCATGCCGAGGTCCGCCATCAGCTCTCTCAGCTTTCTGGA